GTTGCTTCTGAGCTAGATGGCTGCTTGTTTACCTTCAAGCCTTTAAGACCCTAGATGCTATACCTTTTGATAACTGGGCACCATCAGTTTTCTTCACCACATTTGCTTATTCACCTGCTTTGTCTTCAGCGGTTGTATCGGGAAGGTGAGCATCACAGAATGCCAATTTAATAGAAGAAAGTATTCCTGCTTTGAGGGAGTACTTGAGTGGAGGCCCAATGTCTTTCTGATACCGTAATACTAAACCTACAAATATATACACATAGATCTATTTCCTCATCCTCATATACAAATATATTTGCATATTTACATCTTTATCTAGACCTCGATAAATGCCCTTTGTCTTCCAGCTCTTTCTTCTATTTCTTTTGACTTTCCTCCTGTCCCCTATCATGCTCAGTCCCCACCAGGGTTTCAGCAATTCCTCTTGGTTACATTATCCTTGATCATGCCCTACCAGGCCTCCCACACCCCCCTCACTTGGTGTTTTTGGATCACTTGTTGTTCCCTTGTCCCTGGGTTTGTTAACACCATTACCTTTCCCCCCACTTCCCTCTCTCCCATGTCCCTCCGGAACAGTCGGTCCCATTGTTTTTGCCCCCAGATTGTTCATCCAGCCTATCTAATTTAGACTGACCTGTGGAGAGAATAACATGCACAAAAACAAGACAGAGCAAAACCAGGCAACAATATACAACAAAACAACAACAAACCAGTAACAAAAAAAACACAAGAAAGAAAAGCTTGTAGTTAATTCAAGGATTGTTTGTTGGCCTTTAGGAGTGTTTCTCAGTCGAGTCTGTCTTCCTCCTTTGGGCTTGCTTGTCTCTACAGCTATGCTGTTCTTTATAACTCAAAAGTGATTACATTTTAGCCACCCCTAGGACTTTATCTAGGCAACAAAGAAAATCTTAATCTCAAAAAAGGTTATACCTCAAGCATAGAAGTCAGAACTCCACCACCTATTTGGGTAGGGTGGGGTGGAGGGGACAATTCAATCCATAATGGGGCACAACGTTGTACTTGAACAATCAACCCCAAAAATGAGCTCCTCCTTAAATGGTGCACTCTAGGTTTCTCACTTGCCTCTCTCTGCCCCTAACCCAGAGGTTGCCCTGTATACTTCCCTCTCTAAGTCATCTTAAATCCAATTAGACACCCTGGCTTGCAAAACCTGAAAAAGTCATGCATGGCTTCCACTGCATTTAGAAAACTTGTGGTTGGTAGGTTCCAACTCACAGTGACCGAATGCACAGCAGAAGTAAACACTTCCCAGGCCTCTGGCAGTTTCATAACCATTGCTAGGATGTAAATCAACTGCATAAATCCATCTCTTTGATGAAAATATACACCAGCAGTGCCTTCTTAAAAGTCCAATGGCTATTCCCTTTGGATTCCCGGTGGTAGATCATCTACAAGGAAATATGACCTCAATGGAAAGATGTGAGAACCACACCATGTTTCAAAGAAAAAGACCTCCTACCTCAAGTCAATTTTGACTTGAGTTATACATCTTTAGAGAAGTAGATAACCTTCTCTTTCTCCTGCTGAGTGGCTGATAGGTTTGAACCACCAACCTTTTGGTTAGCAGTGCAACATATACCTAACAACACCACGAGTGCCTCTTATGTCCTAAAAAGGAAACACTCTTTCTTCTAACAGTCCCTCAAGGGTGTTTTTGAGGGTTTTATCTTATACAACTAATATATTCTCTGGTTTACCATGTATAAACTCATTTAGTTTATTGCAAGGTGATCATAGTAAGACACACAAGTAAGATTTCACAACAGTTGTTTAGGATCATAGAATTCAAGATAACTATTTTCATTGCAAGTTAATTGAAAAACTAGAGTTCAAATCTTTAGACTTAAGGTGTTTACTTTTAAGAAATGGTCTAAGCCCACATGGAAGAAGCACACCAGACTGTGTGATCACAAGGTGTCAAAGGGATCAGGTATCAGGCATCAAAGAACAAAATATCATATCATTGTGAATGATGGGGGTTGCAGATTGGGGACCTGAGACCCATCTGTAGGCAACTGGACATCCCCTTCAGAAGGGTCACAGGGAGGAGATGAGGTAGTCAGGGTGCAGGGGAGCAACAACGAAACATACAACTTTCCTCTAGTTCCTAAATACTTCCTCCCCGCCCCCCGCCTGCCATCCCCACTATCATGATCCCAATTCTACCTTACAAATCTGGCTAGACCAGAAGATGCACTCTGGTACAGATAGGAACTGGAAATACAGGGAATCAAGGACAGATGATCCCTTCAGGACCAATGCTGAGAATGGAGATACCAGGAGGGTGGAGGGAGAGTGGGGTGGAAAGGGAAAAATGATTACAAGGATCTACATATAGCCTCCTCCCTGGGGGGTGGACAACAGAACGTGGATGAAATGAGACGTCAGACAGTGTGAGAGATGAGAAAATAATAAAAATTTATAAATTATCAAGGATTCATGAGGGAGGGGAGAGCGGGGAGGGAGGGGGGAAATGAGGAGCTGATGCCAAGGGCTTAAGTGGAGAACAAATGTTTTGAGAATGATGAGTGTGACGAATGTACAAATGTGCTTTACACAATTGATGTATGTATGGATTGTGATAAGAGTTGTATGAGCTCCTAATAAAATGATATGTATCTTTAAAAAAAGAGTTGTATGAGGCCCCAGTAAAATGATTTTTAAAACGAGAAAAGAATTGGTCCAAGGAGGATGGTTTAGCCACTGCTTAAACTTGGTGAAGGTCTGATGTTTGCAATGGGGGAGGGAAGTGTCAATAGGCTCTCAGTCTTCAAAGAGGAAAGACCAGAGAAAGACCCCTTTGTTTTTTCTTCTCTCAGTGAGTGAGTAGAAATTCAGGGTTTATATGTGAAATTATCCCCTTGGCCTCACACAATAAGGGTCAGCATTTTGACAAAGACTAGTATATTACTCCAGAGTTAGAGATGAGCCAAAGGACACATCTTTTTGTCAAGGTTAGAAATTACAGTGATTGTTCATATTAATGGCTTAAAGATACTTTACAAAAGTTAAGTATGTTATGTCTTCTATTTTTAATTATTATTTATTTTGCTGTCATTTTAAAAAATATATGTAACAAAGCATACCCATATTGAATAGTTTCTACATGTATAATTTAATGATATTAATTAAGATGTAGAACACTAACCCAAGTTATTAACACCAGAGGCAACATCTTCAGAAACACAATGGCATTGCACCATTATTGGGGGTCTATAAGTCGGGCTGCTAACCACAAGGTCAGCAGTTTAAAACCACAAGTCACTCCAGGGGAGAAAGATGAGGTATTATACTCCTGTGAAGATTCACAGTCTTAGAAACCCACCAGGGCAGTCCTCCTTTGTCCAATAAGATTGTTATGAGTTGAAATCTACCCCGTAACAGTGAGGTAAGATGAGCTAGAAACATGTGAGCTCAAAGTCATGACCACCATAAGAATGTGCAGGGATGATGTTAATTCTCTCTGGTAGTATTCTTTGGCAGCAACAAACTGCCAACTTTCCAGGCCATTCCTTCAAGCCTAGGGAACGGCTAACTTAGGGAAATGATAACGCAAGTGGCAGGTGAGCGGCCTCTGCTCTATAACTCGTGTTCTGCAGTTAAAGGTCAGCTCAGTTTTTGGAGATCTGAGGAGTCCCTTTTTAGACCTGAGTAAGTGGGTTGCATGCCACTCCAATCCTCCCTTAACTGGCTGCTCACAGCAGATTCCATTATGGTGTTTAATACATTATACAAGGTCACATCATGGGAGATCACTACCAAACCATTGAGAATTCTGGCCCAGCCAAGTTGACATAAAACTTATCACAAGGAGCAACTATAATGTACCTCATGCCAAAGAAGGACATTGTCTATCAATCAACTCTGAATCCCATAACATTCCAACCAAGTGGTTACAGCATTATTCACACTGTGTAGATGTTATAACTAGATGTCAAAGAAGTTTTGTGAGTTACTCTCTTATGACAGAGCTCTGACTTGAACTGATGATGGTTGGCTGTCTCTAAAGCATCCACTGTGTTCTTCTATAACTCAGAATTACCTCTCTTCTTGTGCGTGCCACATGTCCGGGACTGAAGGGCTGGTTAGCAGACTTCCACACACAAGCGGATTCAGAAAGAATGATCTGCCAGGGTGCCTTTCTGGCCTGTTTACATCCCTATATCTTTCCCTCCCTAGATCTCAGAAAGATGGAGAAGCCACAGGAGTAGACATCATCTGCACCCACCATCCTGACCCTACAGGTTTTGGATTGAACAGAGAACAGCTCTACTGGGAGCTGAGCCATCAGACCCATGGCATCACCCAGCTGGGTCCCTACAACCTGGATAAGAACAGCCTCTATGTCAATGGTGAGTAGTGGTGGGAACAAGAGTCTCCTCATGTCCCCACTCAACCCCCAGGTGAATCCTGCCACTGAGCTCAGGCCAGAGTATGCATTCCTGTCTGCTTCTAGATTTCTCTCATCTTACTCTTTTCTTTGTAAGCATCTGCTTTCCCACCAAGGGCTAAATCACTCAGCGATGAATGGGCAGTCAGATAAAGGTTGTAGGAGGCATCGCACAGAGGGGACATGACCTCCTGTGCCTTCCTGATGTCATCTGTTTTCTCTTGATTATCCAGCCTTTCCATTCATCCCTACACCTTCTCAAACACCCAACCTCACTCTTACCTTACTTACTCTGCAGGTTACACCAGTACAGTCTTGACTCCCATACCCACTGGTAAGTGTTCAAACCCCAGAAGACTATGTCCCATTGCCTTAGTTGGGGGGTAGTTGGTTCCGCTTCCCCAAATGCAGGACCATGGGGTTGAAGGAAGCCATAGGACCCTGGCCACCCCTCCCCCTACCTCTGTCTTTCGGGACTCAGGTTGGTCATCAGACTTGTTTCTGTCACCTCCAAGACGCTGGAGCTGCACTATTCCCATTTATGTTTCCTCCTCAGTTGCTTCAACTGTCACACTCTTTCCGGGAACCTCAGCCACACCAATCCCCTCCTCCAGCTCCACAGGTAGGCATGTGCTCGTCACATCTTGTACACAGGCAGGTAAGGCAAGAGACATGGGGGAGCATAAGTCCTTGAGACAACTCCCTTGCCAAGGGGCAGCCCAATTCCAGGCCTGAGTTTGGAGAGCCCTGTGAATCCAGGTTTACACATTCAAACTACAGCAGTAACTCTTTTGTTTTCTGTTGTATCAATTAGCTTTCATTATATAACCACCACCCCCAAACCTAAAAACCGAAAGGAAAAAAAAAACCTTTGCTGTCATTGGGTCAATTCCAATGCATAATGACCCTGTTGGACAAGGTAGAACTGTACCTGTGGGTTTCCAAGACTTTAATTCTTTATGGTAATAGAAAGCCTCATTATTTCTGCCATGAGGCTGCTAGTGGTTTTGAACTTGTGATTAGGAGCCCAAACCCACTATACTACCAGTGCTCCTACCACCCCCAAATATAGTGGATTAAAAATACTGTGCACTAGTATACAGCAAATGGTTTGATTGCACTGGGCAGTTACTCTCCCCTCCACTAAGGTTCCCCATGTACATCAACCAGGTGTCCCAGCTTCAGAGATATCTCTTTGGCTATTTACTGCTTGTGTTTCTTCCGTTTCTCTTCGTATGCCCTGTCATCATCCAACAGGTGGGCTTGAACTCGGTCCTATGGTGGTCATTTGAGTTTGTAGTGTCAGGAAGGAGGACTACAACAGCAAAGGTTTTTCAGCCCGATCGGGTCTTATTTCTCATAATCCATTGACAAAATCAAGTCTCTCCCAGATTCATGTGGTAGAGATTTAGACTCCCTCATCTTGATGAAAATGGCCACCATATCATATTGCAAGGGCGTTTATGCTGGGAGGGTTTGTGGCCATTTTGACAATCTACCTAGGTGTCCCTGGTGGTGAAGCCTTTAAAAACTGCAGGATGTTAGTGATACCAGAACTAGTAGTTCATTCCAGAACAGGGTTCAACGCTTCATCCTCCCTTCGGATCGAAAGGAAATAAAACCCAGTTTCCACGAAGTCAACTCCAACTCCGGGCAACCCCATGGCTGTAAGAATAGGCCTGCACTTCACAGGGTTTTCAGTGATGGACTTTTCTGTCACAGATTACCAGGACTTTCTTTGGATTCACCTAAGGTGGATTTGAACCTCCAACCTTTCAGTTAATGGCCAATCGTGTTCACTCTTTCCACCACCTGGGGATAGAAAGTAAATCATCCGGGGAAATCCAAGACTAATTCTCAAGGGACATAGTTGAAGGGGATCAGCAGAGGAAGCAGAGATAAACCTTAATGACACCATGGAAAGAAGTAGTAGGACGTACTTCCAGGGACTGTTGTGAGGCTTCAAGGAGATACTGTTCATCATGGAGTAGCATTGAGTAAGCTTTTGCCAAACATCAGCTCTTCTGGTTGCTGCTGTTTTTACGGTTATGATCATTATAATTACCATCACTAACCCAAAGTCAACAAATCCACTGGCATCGGGTTTGTTCCAGTTCATCATATCCCAGCATTAGGTTTCTGAGGCTGTAAATCTATCTTTATTGGAGCAGACTCATCTTTTTCCCATGGAGTAGCTGGTGGGTTTGAACTGCTTATCTAGAAGTTAGCAGACCCATGCTAATCCACACCATCATCAGGGTTCTTTATTACTATAACTAGAATCTTTACAAAGAGCATTTCCTATTCTGGGAAGAGACATCCTGACCCCTTATGCCAGAGGTAAACACACAAACCATCACTGATATGGATGGAGATTCTCAGACCGCCTTTCCACAAGATCTAATTCAGGCCTAGCTTCTTCTCTCCCTCCACCATGTAGCCCGGGGTCCTGTTCTGGTGCCTTTTACCCTCAACTTCACCATCACCAACCTGCAATACACAGAGGACATGGGTCTTCTGGGCTCCTTGAAGTTCAACACAACAGAGAAGGTTCTGCAGCACCTGGTGAGATACTTGCCCAACTGACAGAGTCCCTCCATTGATTCCCACCCACCTTTCTCCTGCACCCAACAAGTCAAGGGTTGTCCATTGATGTCTGCCCATTCACTTCACTCCACCCGCTAGCACATGGCTGCCCTGCTCACCTCAACCTTGCACTGATACAAGGTTGATCCACAGATAACTGCCCAGTCCAATTCCTCTTATACCTTCCCTATCTGCCTGACCTCCTCTTCATGCCCTCTTCTCTTCTTCAGCTCATGACCTTGTTAAAGAACACCAGTATTGGCTCTCTTTACTCCGGCTGCAGACTGAAGTCCCTCAGGTAAGACCTCCAGAGAAGGTAGCCTTGTGAGCATGATGAGGTTGCTACACATAGGCTCCCAGAAATGAGCCCTCCTGCCTTAACCATACCCAGGTGCCAGACTGGGATAATTTCCCTTGGGGCTCCTGATGCCCAGGCTCTGCTCTGGGTCTTCCTTTCTCAAGGTACCTCAAATCTCCTATGTTGTGAGTATAGTGGGAACAGAAAGAAAAAGGTAGCAACTCAAAAGTTTGTGTCAAACCTATTCCCAAAGGTCTCATCATGATCGAATCACTCAATGTCCAGTGGAGTCAGTCAGCATGGTGTTCAGCCTATCATGCCTCCACCCCCACACCGCATCAAAACACTCCTGGAGGTTAACTCACAGAAGGTTAATGCTCACTGTGGGTCCGGCATTGTGATAAACCAGGATTTCTCTGCCATCTCAGCATTACAGGTTGTCCTGAACTTAATGATGTGGTTCAGTTCCCTTTCAATAACTGTTGTAATTCATTTTTACCAAAGTGGAACACCTCTGGTTCCTTGTCTGCTGTTAGATTGTTTGTTTTTGTATACAATTTTCATTATTATTGATTTCCTTATCAGTCTCCTTATAAGTCTTTTTTTCCCCTTTGTGGGCTGGAAATATGGCACTTAAATTTGCAGATATTTCTTAATACATACACACGTGTTTATATACCTAAAAATGCACAGATCATAAAAAGGACCATTGTAAGTGTGGTTATTTGTTACTTAAATATGTTGTAAGCTGGAGATTTCCTCCGTTGACATTCTGAGCCAGTAATTCTTTATTGTGGAGGCTGTCCTGGACATTTTAGGACATTTATCATCATCCTTACCCTCAACCCACTCAGTACCAGTAGCAGCTCCCCAGTTGCAACAATCAAAATGATCTCCTGATGTTGCTATTCATCTCCTCTCACTGTCATGGAGCCAATTCTGACTCAGAGTGACCTCATAGGACAGGGTAGAACTACTATAACTCCTTACAGGAGTTGAAAACTTCATCTTTCTCCATGGAGCAGCTGGTGGTTATGAACCATTGACCTTGCAGTTAGCAGCCTCACATGGAACACACTATTCCATCTGGGGGATTCTACATGCCTCCCAAGGGTGCAAAAATCCATCCATGTTGAGACTCACTGAGCGCAATGTTTTCCTTAAACCAGCACCTGAAATTTTTACCCAAAAGATTACTATTATTAATATTTATGTGACCTTCAGCCTGCCACTTCGCCCCAACTAGCAACCCTAATTTAGGATGGCTGAGGCTGTAAATCTTTATGGGAGCAGACAACCTCATACCCTACCCCCACCCCAGAGTGGCTGGTGCATTTTATCTGTTGGCTTGGCAGTTAGCAGTTCAAAGCTTACCCAACATTTAGGAGGACTAAATGAGGCAATTAATAGAAAGTGCTTGACACATAGCATGGCATGCAGTAAGTGTTTACCAAATAATCAGCCATAGGGATTGCTGCCCTGCCTGATACAGTAGTGTCAGCAGAGGTGGACCTCAGGAGACGCTGGACCCAGAATACATGTGTATTCTGGCACCCTGTCCAATGCAAAGAATCCAACAGTTCTGGTCCCTTTCTGATCACTAATCCAATTCCCTCTCCCATGTCTTCTGAGCAAGGAGGAGAGTTCATTTGGCTGTTAAATCTGTCCCCAGAGATTCTCTTTCCACAAAGTTACCTTCTATACTTGCTTTCATCCCATATCCCAGCTCTTCCCTCTCTCATCCATGAGCTTGCCTGTCTCTGTGCCATGGATATGCAGGTTTCAGGCTTTCAGTTTAATAAAAAAGCCTCACTCAGTCCCAGGCTCGTCTGAAATAGTTGCCCTCATAGAATCTAAGCCTGGTTTCTCACCCCTATACCAGGGTTTTCACTTCCTCTGATCCTTTTCGGTCCTGCCACCCAAATCTTAGAACCCCTCATCGAAGGTTATCTCTTCATTTTCCCTCAGTCCTGAAAAGAATGGGGCAGCCACTGGAGTGGATGCCATCTGTACCCACCGCCTTGACCCTGAGAGCCCTAGCCTGGACAGAGAGAGGCTTTACTGGGAGCTGCACAATCTGACCAAAGGTGTTACACAGCTGGGCTCCTACATTCTGGACAACAACAGTCTTTATGTCAATGGTGAGAATCCAGGCTGCGGTGAGCAGCTCCTCTCTCATGATGGTCCTGCTGGGGTAGGTCTCTGCCCCAAGCATAGGCTTCTATCCAGGTGTCCCCCACTGGAGGGCTTTGAGCAAGGTTTCTATCTCTTCTGTGTGGATAGAGACTGTTTGGCCTTTCCTACCAGGTAGGGGCTCTGTTGACCTTGTAAGGAATCACAGATGTGATGATCCAGCCACCATTTATCCTGCGACCAAGATGCCTAGTCCTTGAATGTCTTTCTCTTCTCCTTCAACATCTACAGGTTACACCCACCGGACCTCAGCCACCACCTCTCACCGTGAGTATTACAGACTCCAATAGTCCGGTGTGCCCGAGACAACCTGGCACCTCCTTACCAATAGGAGCTGCTGGATCTGTCAACCTCTCCTCTCACTACCTACCACCAGGAAGGGAAATGATCCAGGGGAGAAGCATAGACTTTAGACTGAATTGACCTTCCTCTTTTGGTCAATGCCCTGTTGTTGGAATATGATTCATAGTGAGACCTTTCCATTTTCATAACTAATACCCTACCCTTACCACCAATGGCCATTTCCTTAGAGCTGACTCACCTTGAGTTTCAACCCCAGTGCTTTTCTTCCTCAGCATCTGTGACCTCCACAGCCTTCCCTGCATCCTCTCTGGAGTCTACCTTCACCACCACGCCCACAGGGAGGAAAGGCCTCAGGCTCTTATGAATGAAAAAAACTTCTCCAATCATTTCTTCCTTCACTGTTCACTCACTCTCCTGGAGGGAGCTTACCCACTTACATATATTCTATCAACTCTCTAGTCTCTGGGTGTTCAGCCAAACTCACATCTTATAGCAGCTTTGGGTACCTTGTCCACCCACCTCCTGAGATACCATGAGGACACATCAGACATGTCTCCAAGATTCATCCCGTGTCACATATTCTGACACCAACCATTCTCCCACCCTACTCTACATCTACGCTGAGTTTGATTCAATGCAATAGTCACACACGACTCACAGAAAATCCTTGCAATTAAGGGGGTTTATTGGGGACGTCAATAATTCACTACAAGTCTGGATCAGCAA